TCATTTAAAATCTAGTTGTGAACGAATTGTAATCGTCGTTTGCACAAATTGTATGTATACTGTTGCCTGTTATACTGGGATCTATATAGTTAATATAATATAATATAATATAATATAATATAGTGTAGTGTTTAAGATGGCGTTAGAAATGAATTTTAAAAGAAAGTAATTATCAACTGACTTCTAAAATTTCAATGAAAGAAATATCAGGATTTATATTGCTTAGTTATTTGTTAGCATTTAAGTTGAATACACGATCTCATCGATGTTTCTCACGTTAATGGAGTGAAGACGGGGGTAATTCCGATATGAAATTCATTGCAAGCATGATGTCTTACCGCCTGTAGGAGGTAAAAAATTGAATTTAGTATAGGGAATACAGTAGCTTCCTTTTCGCGATAAACGTGGTAGTTTCTGCTGTTGATAGAAACTTCTGTATCGTCATCGGGGAAGGACGAAGGAAAGGGGGAGTGTGGCTGATTACGATGTACCTGATATGCATGTATATATGTACAATTATGTTGTTTAACATAGTTGCATATGTGCGTTCATATTATGTGTTGTAAAGTCGTATGGAAGAAATAGACGCTAAAGAAAAGTAGCAGTCGTCGTATATAAAATTTATTGATTTCATTCTCGGTAAAAAAAAGGCATATAAAAATATTTTGTTGATACGTGGAGAGTTTGAATAAGAAAAGGGTGTATCAGATTCGAAGGTTTCAATTGAGATTGTATTCTTTGATAATGTTTCCGGCTATAACGAGTCTTTGTATTTCCGATGTACCTTCGTAAATTTCCGTGATACGGGCGTCTCTGTAATGACGTTCCGCCGACATGTCAGTGACGTATCCCATACCTCCTAATATTTGTATGCACTGATGACTACAGAAGGTAGAAGTCTCGGATGCTGACAACTTCGCCATAGCAGCTTCCTGCCAAACGAAGACATTGACAATTATATATTGACTCGTACGAGATTATAGTGTCGTTTACCGTACCTTTGTATACGGTTTACCACTGTCTTTGAGTACAGCTGCGCGCCACGTTAACAATCTTGAACTTTCTAGTTTTAGTGCCATGTCTGCGATTTTTTGTTGAATCGCTTGTAGCTTAATTATAGACATACCAAATGCTTGACGTTTCGCTGCATATTCAACAGCAGTGTCAAAAGATGCTTGAGCTATGCCTAAAGCTTGAGCAGCGATGCCTATTCTACCAGCATCTAAAAGTAATACAGTTGTTACGTTTCCGGATGTTGTACTCGTCTAGATGCGTATTTATTTCATACCCAATGTCGTCATTGCAATTTTAAAACCCATTCCTGCTTCTCCCAACAAATTTTCAGCTGGTAGTTTACAGTCTTCGAATATCAATGAACACGTACTGCTGCCTCGAATCCCGAGCTTGTTTTCTTTTTTCCCAAGAGAAAGACCTTCTGAAGGCTTATCGACTATAAAAGCGCTTATGCCCTTATGCTTTTTCTGTTTATCTGTTGTAGCAAATAAAACAATTGCATCAGATTCATAAGCATTCGTTATCCATGATTTTGTGCCATTAATTACATAGTTGACTCCATCCGATTTGGCAGTGGTAGAAGCAGCACCTGCGTCGCTACCATTGTCGGGTTCGCTAAGAGCAAAACATCCAAGTTTGGAAGTAGTTACGAATGGTGTGACATATTTCTCTTGCTGCTTACCGCAGCCAAACTTTTCTATAGGGCCCAGATAAAGAGAATTATGTACACTCATAATGACACCTGTACTGGCGCATCCTTTAGAAATTTCTTCCAACGCGATAGCATAGGATAAATAATCCAGTCCGCTTCCACCTAAGGTTTCAGGAATCGCTATGCCCATTAAACCCAATTCCCACATCTTTTTAATTTGTTCTCTCGGATAAAGATGCTTTCTATCAATTTCTGCTGCTATTGGTTTCAACTCGCTTTCTGCAAAATCCCTGTCGCAACATTTTCAACACTGAATATTTATAAATAGCATTATCTGATAACGAACAACATTAATCAGGTAAGTAATTATAAATAAATAGATACGTCGTGAGTAAGGAATAACTTGAGATAAATACTTGCACGTCTTGTGCAGCATTTGATGTGTTTCTGATAACATTGACAGAGCAGCAATATTTCGGGTGACAGTGTGCGATGCTCCAGGCATAATTCGAGTAGCTTGTTAGAAAAAGCAGTAGAATTACATTAATTTTATTCGGTACATACGTATAACGTAAACTTACGCGTTATTAAAACTTACCAAGTAGATTTGCTTTATACATGTTTATTTATTTATACTTGTAGCAATAGCAAAGAACTATTCGTGAACTTTGGTACTTGGATACTTGGTTATTAGGGAACTTTTGTCGAGTAATCTGCAATGAGACAAGAAAAACGTAAACAGAAAACAGAACATCATGAAATGACACCAACTAACCGGTTGATAACCCAACTCTTATGAATGTTGGTAAATGAAAATAATGCAACGTACATAAGTATATATACATATATGCTTGCGGTGGGTAAGTACTCATGTCGAGTGGAACGTAGCGAATGCGATAGCTGCATAAATACTTGACTTACATGTTTTTAGATATTATATTGTACAAACAGAGACAAATGAAATCATGGACCGATTTAACAAAAATATTGCTTTATTTATTGACGTTATTTACTTGAATCGACGTCACATGCGGTATTCCAATATGAATATTGTATTTGTATAATTATATTTAAAAATAATGCACCATTGTGCGTGTGGAATAGTGAATTGACAAATTTATACACATCGAAGTATTCAAATAAACGTTTATTTGCTCCTTTTCTTTTTCGATGAGCATACATCTGTCCTTATATACCACATTTTTACTTACTTACTACGTATCGTGTACGTATAAAGAAAAATGAAAGAAAAATGATGTTCCGAATAAAAATAACAAGTATTCGTTGTTATATGCATCGAATCGAGATAATATTATTCGTTTGTTAAAAGCCGCAAGGTACAAGTCGGTCCAAGGGCACTTTTAACCCCCTCCTCTTGCTATATTTTTTCAAAAGATTGCATGCATCGTCGGATTCAAAGAAATAGCTCGGTTTTTATTGGCCATGATAATACGAATATTATTAGTATACGAATGATTTTTCGTGTCCAAGAATGTTGTTTTCGTGAAAAGTAATTTGAAAATTGTTTAAATTCAATCATAATTACCCGCGGAATTTTCGATAGCAACAGAGCGACAATCAATATATCTGACATTAGAAAATGTGCGCATGTACGAATACTGTTTCTGTCGATAATAACTAGCTATCTGTTCCTTCAGCTTTCGAAGGTGAAGTTCGGTGAAGTCTTGACATTCAGTCTTTGTAGCAGGAAGAAATTTCTTCTGAGTTAAATAGAAGAAAATGTCGAACAGCAAGTGTGTTAAACAACCGCGTAAAAGTTATGCGAAAGAACAGCAAGAAATGACCCATTCAGAGAAATTAAGATTAATAGACGACGAATTGAACTCTTTCTACAAGTAAATTCATAGTTTATTTCTTTTTGGATATTGTTACTTATTTTTAAAAATGTTTTTAACATATTTTTCGTTGGTACGGTTTTTCTGTATTGCTGTAATAATTTGCAGGTTCACTCTGAAAAATGGCCCTGCCTTTAATCGATGTTTGCTTACCATAATTTTATTAGATGTTTGGTATTGTAGCAAGGTATTCTATTTTGTGTTTCGTATCATATTTTGTCAAACATTCTTCTAAGTTAATTACCTTATACACATATATAGTTGCGACTATGATTGATTTTTTGTCCGTTACATTAAAGAATAAAGGTCTAACGTATAGAAAATGGTGTATAATGTTGAACACTGGACAAAAGATGTTTAGACGCGACATTAAACACAATCTATGAAAAATTAGAAATATTACAACAACATTGAATTCAATGATTTATAGATACTGTCAACAAGCTGGCTTTACAGAGGAGGAGATGGACATTATTTGTCAACCATTGGTGGCAGCGATGCGACGTTCTTGGTTACAACTAGTCTTTCGCAGTATGCTCGTTCTAATAGTTCTTGGAACTTTGACCTGTCTGGCGGTGCAATTGGACTTTGTTCGAACCCACTTTACGGCGATCAGCCGTCTGTTGCTTATTAAAATTCTGCCAATTTGGAATTGGCAACCTTTATATTACGGGAACTGTATGATTAACAATCCCTTCTACAATGATCACACGATCACAGAGGACGACTGCGTGGTACGGTCTTTATAGTTTAGAACGGTTGTAACCGATTAAGAGCAACAACTGGCAAAGTATATTTCTCGTACGAAGAATGCGAGTAGTTCTCGTTTAAAGAAGAAAAATATAGGTAACATAATTGCGAAGAAGTTTTACGCGTAATTGAATTTTTAGACTTGCGAAGCATTGGAAACTATCGATCGTTTATCGGACGTCAGGTATCGGAATCTTGTGGACAATTATTTGAGTCGCGATGCTCCTGCGATTATTACAGATGCAATGGATTCCTGGACAGTTATGAATACAGACTATTTTTGGTTTGACAATATCACTCATGTAAGTAGACGCGGAGGCGTTTATCTTTGAATAATTTTTCCATGGAATAATATGGAATTTGATTGAAAAAGTAACAATCGGAACGAAACGAATGTATTGAGGAAACTAAATTGATGAGAATCGTTGCGTGTCTTAAACAGCTTTACTTGGAGAACGAACGACTGATGGAAACGGTTCCTTGCGCTCTGACTTCAAATTTAAGAACCGGCTCGTACGATTTGGCAGCATTTCTGCGGCGCGTTCATTCCCCGGAAGTGGCGAAATGGTTCGTCCATTGGCAGAACTGCGACATCAATGCGGTAAAGGTGCTAAGGAAATATTATCAACGACCGTACTTCCTTTCGAGTACGGTCTCGCCAGCGCATTTCAATTGGGTCCTGATGTCCTCGGACTATAATAGTCCAAGTTACAAGAAGGTCGAGTTGGACTCTGGACTGATCGCTCTCGCCCAGTTGCGAGGAGCTACGCAGCTTCGGTTGACACCGATAAATCCTTGCAACAGCTCTTGCCCCGAATTGATAGCGGATTTGCATCAAGGTGAAATGTGTAAGTTATCGTTTACCTAAGAGACGTCGCGAGTTGAAGCGAAGAAGAGAAACTCTGATCGGCGACTCTATTAATTTCAGTGGTTTTTACCAACTTGATGTGGACGTTGGAATACGCACCGATGAGAGGACTGGACAACATAGCTATCTTAACAGAGACCGTGTGGGAGGAGGATACGTAGACCGAGTTTTCCATTATAATATATCTTGTTAGTCTTGGATATTTGAACTCTATACGCGCGTTGCTCGAACGCGTATATCCTTATTCTGTCGCAACGCTATGGTAGCCGTAAAATAAAGTATTTCATCGAATTTTCTCGAATTTTCTCGAATTTTCTCGAATTTTCTCGAATTTTCTCGAATTTTCTCGAATTTTCTCGAAAGAAACGATTAAAACGTTGAATTATTTCTCCCGAACCCGACGCGATGTGTAGGATAAAAGATGATGTACATAGAAATGGTAATAGGTCAACCAGAGAGTTTCGTTGGGTAGCAAACGACAATAAGGTTGTTGTTGTCGATGAGAAAGACTCGATGAGGATACCAAAAGTAACAACAAACAAGATTCGTTTTTTATTAATTAATCGTTTATAGTAACATTGTTGTTTTGCTGATTTTCCCTTTGACGGTAGTTTTGTTCTCGTTACGTCGGTTGGACTAACAAGGAATAGATTGTTGTTATGCACCGATTTATAGAAAAACAAAGCGCAAGATTACTCAATGACGAGATAAACGTAGCTGGCGACTTGGCATGCTTAATCGATGCGAGAATTCGATATATTAAAAGTCGTACGTGTGTGTATATAATCGTTTTCATTTTGTTTGCGCTACGGTTTGTTCATACAATTGTTGTAGGGTATCGATACAAGAGAAAGAACGACGCAAGTGGCGGGTAACTAAGAACGCACGTCTTTTCAGGTCGATTCTTGAACGTTTCCTTGGTTCTCTTGGCAATAATGCCTGCTACTCTGTTGCTCTTTTCTTTTCTTTCCGCGATTCTTTTCGCGATAGCGGCGTTGTTTCTCACTGGTTCTCCGGTTTGTTTGGTCTTTCTCCGTTTGTCGGTACCCTATATCTCGTAGATGTATCGATGTAGGTGGGTGGGTAGGTAGGTAGACGGGTGGTTAGGTATGCGTACTCTTGATACGCTTGATACGCTATTACGCGCAAGGGTCCATATTCTGTCTGTTTCTCGTCACGGTCAGTTTTCCCGTTCTCTCCAGCTGTGCACGCTCGTAGAGCGAAACAGAGTTTTACGATTACGCGTAACGTTTAGAGCTAGTCGTTACCTAGATTTTCAAGTAAACGCGACATATTTACTTATATATTGTTTTCGAAGGACGAAAAGCATATCGATTCCCCGGACAGCTTTCCGCGCTCGTCTAAATACGCTTGTCGACGATCAGTACCAATTATTTGTCGTTCGTTCGATCGAGAGACGATGTGGGATGTTGGCTGAAACTCGACGACCGATTCCTTTTGGCAGCCGCGGATCAACGAATCGACACCGATATACCCGACACGATATTCTACTCGTTTCCGAATGTCCATTCCATCGGTTCTCGTACGGTTGGCCTTCCAACAACGAAGCGCGAGCAAGTGAAAGGCTAGAGGAAAAGTCGGACTGCGACCGTCAACGGAACAACGTCGAGGGATATCTCTACGAATGTCTACGGTTTTCGTCGGTTTCTCTGCTCTGTTCGACTCGTCTTTCGAACGTCGTTTTCGTTTCGTTCGACCAAGAAGAAAAACGCGAGCGACGTTCGAATCGAATCGCGAATCGTTCCGCCATTCCGTTTGCGATCTTCGTTCCGAGCAACAACTTTCGATTCGATCAGACTGCGCTATTCGACGAGAAAGTGGAAAAGACGAAGATCGGCGAATGGAATAGGCGCGACACATCGACGAACGAGTGTGGATCGGTTATCGTCCGAATCAAGTTTCAGCGAAGAAGCTAGCAGTCGGGTTTTCGCGTAGTTGGACAGTCGATGGAAAATTTCGGTGAACACCGCAGCCATTCCAGTTGAATTCTCGCGCAAATCGATCCTCGACTCCCAAGCATGTATGCAAGTATATTGGGTACTCGGTTATACTTATTTACATATCGCGTATCGTAGTCGACTCGACGAGGGGAACGCGTGAAACGTTTGTAGGTGTTGCGTATCGCGTCAGTCTTTTGTTTTCTTCTCTTTTCTTTCGTTTTCTTTCGTTTTCTTTCGTTTTCTTTCGTTTTCTTTCGTTTTCTTTCGTTTTCTTTCGTTTTCTTTTGTTCGATTGTTTGGTTCGCGCGTATTGTCCAAACTCGAGACCGATTCGCGCGATATCTTCTATCGGATATGTTGCGGTCGTGGTTCGTAGTTGCGAGTCCCAAGAAACGTTCGCATCCGATAGACTAGATATATTCTAAACGAACGAGGTACGAAACGCTACGACATTTCTATCGAACGACACACGCTCGAGTCTACTCGCGACAATTTCGAAAACGTTGCTACTCTTTCGCCTTATCGCCGTACATCACCGAATACAATTAGTTCGTTTCTCTTGGAGCAGAGACGCTTTCCGATTTCAAATGCGCGTGCCGGAAATGCGAATGCGAATTCAGAATGAAACCGGAAGTAACGATAGGAACCCTTATACGGACGAGAATCACCAAAGTTCGAGAAAATTCCTACCGATCGATCGATCTTGCCGAACGAGACGCGCGCGAATCGAACGATTTCTCTTCGACGAACATGGAAAAACGGTTTAACGAAAAGCCGTGGTCGTTTGATTTTCTTTACGATTTTATATTGCGTATTTATACGCAAGGGGGTAAGGTAAGGGGCGAGATGCGAGGCGAAAAGTCTATTGAATGGTCGGTTGTACAGGCGTGCTCGACGACGGACAGATGAAAATAGAATGGAAGAAATGAAAGAATAAAAGCGAGTCGAATTTACGATTCGTTTTAATTGAAATAGGTATGATGGAACATGAATTTGGAATCGTTCTAGAGAAACGTTTGCTTCGAAGGTTCACGTGTGTCGCGTGTGACCGCGAATTTCATATACGTTGCATCGTTTAGCGAGGATGCGGTCACGGCACAGCCACCGGTGGCGGTCGATTAACATGATTAGGCGATAGACAATTCTTGGTATTTACTCGGCAACGATTCTAACGAGCCTGCTTATCCTTTTCAAAGCGGTTCCGGTATAATTCTTTTTCGGTTCGATCAGCTTCCTCTGTCGCCGATCGTACTATCGGCAGATTCCTTGATGGCTAGGCTCAGGGACAAGGAATGCGTCCGATTGCTCGGTTCTCGTCTCGTTTGCGACGCTAGATTGCTACTCGTCGATAACTAATCGAAACTAGAAACAAAAATGCCGGGCATCAAGTAATCGCTCAACGGCACGCACCGCTTGCTCGCGTGACGCGCGGCGAAAGAGAAAAACCATCGAAAGTAACGCACTCTTTTGTACAAAAACAAGCGATATAACAACATTCGCCGACAGTTTTGTACAATATGTATATATATACATATACATATATACATATAGATGTACACGTATGTACGCGGATACGCGTAGAGACACTCGCGCACATGCATATTTGTATGTGTATGTATACACAAGAGTACTCGACGGCAGCGGTACGCGTCTATCGTGTTATATCTCTTGTTTCCCTCGCTTGTTTGATCGTTGTATCGACAGAAGTAACGGGTATTCGCGATCGAGCAACCGATTCATTTACACATATACGTACGTACACGGGACGACAAAGTTCGTATTTCCCAACCGGGAATTCGGTAAATTATATATACATTCTTCGGTAGATTAGGCATTACCGAGCATATACGCATGGTGTTGTATCGTTTACCTCGAAACTGTTCGTCGCTTCGTTCGTATTCGCGCGCTCCGGTTCGATGATCGTTTCACGGAACTGCTGTGTCTGCTTCGCGATCGAGAACACGGGAACGAATAGGTTCGCGTACGAGTGAAAGTCAAAGGTAATTACGCGGTATCGGTATCTTTCGCTTATCTTTCGCTTATCTTTCGCTTATCTTTCGCTTATCTTTCGCTTATCTTTCGCTTATTTTTCGCTTATCTTTCACTGGACGCGCGTTTCGAGTGTACACGTTTCCTATACTCGACGGGAAATTGGCCGAATTGCATCGAGGTCAGTCCTAAGCCGATTCCGTCGGAATATCGTAACGTTATTCTCTACACTTTCGGAGAAGCCGTCGAATCGACGCAGAGAATTTTCGAATACTCCAATGGCTATTATATACGACTACGCGTATCCCTGAGCAGATACTTGGATATTCCGAGATATTTCCTTGTAAAATATGCCAAGATACAACGCTGGCGACGGTTGCCACCGAAAGTCGAATTTCCGCTTTCTCCGAACAAGATATTCTCGGCGAACCAAAAGTCGAATGTATGTCCGAATAACCGATGCCACTCGTCCGTCGAAGAACGTCGGCTTTGTCGCGAAGAAATTCGGAAAGTAAGAAGAG